AAAGCATACCAAAAGCAAACAAATCTTTTTACGTCGGGTGATGGCTTTGGTGCCCGCCGGCAAGGTAAGCCCCCCGGTCGTCCAAATGATTCGTGTCAAAATTCTATTGTATCGCAGAAATTAGACAATTCTATATAATTGTGTTTTTGTTTCAGGGAGAAGACAAGTCGAGCTACAGGAAGTCCCACCGCGACCACCACGGCGCGACAACGTCGCCCGCCGAGCCACCGACCCCCTTGATGGCTTTGGTGCCCTCCGGCAAGGTAAGCCCCCTGGTCGTCCAACTGATTCGTCTCAAAATTCTATTTTACCGCAGAAATTAGACAATTCTATATAATTGTGTTTTTGTTTCAGGGAGACGACAAGTCGAGCCACCGGAAGTCCCACCGCGACCACGCGACCACCGCGACGTCGGCCGCCGAGACAACCTCTACCGGAAGCAGAAAGTCATCCGCCCGGAAGGTAAGTCCCGTGGTCGTTCAAATGAAATTCTATTTTACCGCAAAAATTAGACAATTCTATATAATTGTGTTTTTGTTTCAGGGAGACGACAAGTCGAGCCACCGGAAGTCCCACCGCGACCACGCGACCACCGCGACAACGTCATCCGAAAAGCCAGCCTCCACCCGCAGCGAGCGGAAGCGGCGCTCGGACCCGGTGAGTCCCTTGTTCGACTACAAAATGTCGAAGTTGTATTTTACCGGAAAAATTAGACGATCTCTCTATAAAATAAATGTTTGTTCCAGGACTCCCAGGTGGTGCCTCCTTTGACACTCAACTTAAAGAGAGCAAAGAGCCAAAGTCGTGAAGAAAAGCCCGCCGCCCCCGCCGCTCCAAGTGAAGAGGAAAAGGAAAAGGCTGAGGAGGAGCGAGAGAGACGGCGTCAAGAGAGACACAAACGACTTTACGTAAGTTTTTATTCTTTAGTCGAAATTGTACTATTTTGTACATAACAAATCATATACGTTATATTTGACTTAAAGGACTTTATTAACGTTTTCTTTTTATTTTCAGGGAGAATGGGCCTTGGGGAAAGAAGTCTACATTAATCCTGAGAAACGCTGCCCGTACTGCTATTTTTCCCACAACATTCCCGCAACGCTTATGGGGCACATCGAAGATGAGCACAAACACGAACTGTTTGTGGACAAGAAGCCCGTGGCGTGGTCCAAGGTTACCACTCTAAGCCGAAATGGCATAAGAGTCCTGAACGAACGAAGGGTTCGGTGAGTCCTTCTCGGGGCGGGAGTTAAAGAGGAGGAGATGGATCGCCAGCTCCATCTTAATCGCCTAGTTTTAAACGAAGGACTAATCTTGCTTGGTGATGAGAGTGACGAACACAGGAAGTACCACGGCACGTGGAAGGATCTGTGGGCGAAAAAGTAAGTTAATTACAGTACAAACACTGGAGAGAGAACGTCAAAGTAGATAAAAAAGAGTAACTATTGACTAATTTTTGCATTTTTCTGTTCACAGAAAGTATCCCGCCGGGTTCAGCTTTGATGAGATGTCCCTCTAAAAACCCCTCAAAAAGAGGGACTTGATGTCAGCTAAGAAGCACGGGCGAGCAGATGGCGCCGCAAAAGACGTAAGTTAATCTCACACAGCTTCAGTCTACTTTTTCCAAGAAACTCTAAATTATACATTTTAAACTAAACTAAACGATTTTCTTTTTTCAGGACTGACGAAGGGGGTGGCTCGATACATCCACAGAATATATGATCCAAACAATTGACATCAATTTCTGAATTTT